TTCCCTAACACATAATATGTCAAGCCTGTTAAGACTCTAGATACCGTCTCCCTTCCTTTATCATCAAGATTCTGCCAAGAGTAGTCAATATTTGCTGTCACTATTTCCTCACTATCCAATGTCTCCTTAACAGACTATAATCTGGCATCTTGTTACCATTAGTCTACTAAAACTAAGCCTAAGTGACAATTCTTAGTCACTTTTTACAGTCATTATCCTAACTGACTTCTGTGACATTTAATTCTCCTTATTATTCTTCTCCACTTTCTCCTCTTTTTCTTCCCACTGTCTACTTGCTTACCAGACTACTATTCTTTCTCTAGCATACCTATCTCACCTGCTAACATTTCCTAGCATTACAAACACTATCAAGATGAGTTCAGCTACAGAAGCAGTTTTTAAACTTTTGGGTCTCAGGACTCCTCCACAAACTATTAAAAGTACTGAGGACCCCAAGAGCTCTTATTTATGTGGGCTGTAATTATCAATATTTACTATTCTAGAAGTTAAAACTAAAAAAGTTTTGAGACACCAGAATATACAAGTCATCAGAGTGATGATGTCATCATGTGTCATTACACACTAGAAATTTTCACACTGTAAATTCATGAGAAAATGAAAGTTAAAAAGCCAAACATGTCTTAGCATTATTGTAAAAAAGGCAAATAATGTCTTAGCATTACTATACAAATTGTTCTGACCTTCAGAACCCTCTGAAAGAGTCTCAGAGACACCCCCTTCCTCATCCCCCACCCAGGAATCCTTTAACACTCAAGGATTTAACACCCACACCAAAAATTCCTCTGAGTCTTCATCTCTAACCTGACCTCTTTTCCTGAGCTCCAGATAGCTCCTACCACCTAACTGAAGTACCATCTTCGTTTGGTCAGTTCACAGATATTCAAACTCACTGTTGTCCAGAATTTAATTCATTACCTTCTAGGCCAAATCTATGTATCTTCCTTCTGTGTTATCTATCTTCATCAAAGGCACTAACATTCACCTAGAGCCAGATAACTTTAAACAACCCTAGGTTCTTCCCTTTCCTTCTTTACCCTCATTCAGTCATCAAACCCTACTGATTCTACTTTTATAATCTAGTAGAATGTGAGAGCTTGTTAGAAATGCAAACCCCCACTCCAGACCTAAAGGCACAAGGAACCGTTGGTAATTCACGTGCACACTAAAATTTGAGAAGCATAAGCCTGGATGGTGATAATATCAATAACCAAAGTTAGAAAATCTGAAGAAGGCAGAACCCAAAAGGTAAACTTGAGAACACTTTAATTAGCACCCTGCTCACTTTTTTCCCTCCTACTATTAAACTGTTGAGGTGAGCAGTTTCGTAAAGGTGGCAGTATTCCTTAACTAAATGATCTTCCCAACTTAGGTTTCTCCTCTCTCCCAACTCTATTCTCTGTACTGCCACCTGGGGGAGCCTTCCTCATCTCTACTTTGCGTTTTGTTTCTCCTGCTTAAATGGCTCGCCATTATCTAGACCAAAGTCCAAATTCCTTAGTACAAAGAACAAGGGCTTTCAAACCCTGATTCCTACCAATCTTTCACCATCCTTGCATATCCTACCTACACCAGAAGTCTGCAAACCAGGTGAATCACACAGGCAGATTATGTTTTTTAAGCTTCTTGGGTGATCTAAAGTGCAGTTGGGGTTGAGAACCACTACACCACGTCTTGAACAAAACTATTTGCCATGCTTCCAGGCAAAAGCAAAAAGCGTATCATAGTCTCTTTGCCTGCCTTCTCATACTTTGCCCTTGTGTTCTGGGATGAATTCATAGCCTTTCTAACAACTCAATCACCATCTCTTCTTTAAAGGAAAACTTCTCTGGGGCGCCTGGGTGGCACAGTCGGTTAAGCGTCCGACTTCAGCCAGGTCACGATCTCGCGGTCCGTGAGTTCGAGCCCTGCGTCGGGCTCTGGGCTGATGGCTCGGAGCCTGGAGCCTGTTTCCGATTCTGTGTCTCCCTCTCTCTCTGCCCCTCCCCCGTTCATGCTCTGTCTCTCTCTGTCCCAAAAATAAATAAACGTTGAAAAAAAAAAATTTAAAGGAAGACTTCTCTTTTCTCCCCTCTTCTCCCCTGCAGGCAGATGGAATTGGAGGGTTCTTGCTCTTTGCTCCCATACCACCTTGTACTTCTATAATCTACACTGTTTATGAAGTAGTCTGTTCTACTAGACAATGATCTCATGTGAACACAGGGATTGTATCGTATCCATCTTTTATATTCTCTGTGCTTGGACACAGAGGCTAGAAGATAACAGATATGTAATAAATGCTTACTGAAAACACAACAAATTTTTGGAGCCTATCAAACAGACCTAGAATGATGTAAAAAAAAAAAAATGAAGCAAAAACAAGACCAATCTACTTCCTATCTACTAGGCAATTTCATTAACAAAGGGAAAAATCTCTGTTCTAAATTCTACATTTAGTAACAAAAAGCAAATCTATGTATGAAGTGATTCACATCTGAGCTGAAATGAAAAATTTCAGTTGAAGTAGATTCAAATCAGCCTAACAGTGAATATCAGATGCTTTCAGTTTTAACAGTACAAGGATGGAAAACAGAAGGGTTCTGGGTGTCTGAAAAGAGTACTGGGTAGGAGGAAAGAGCCCAACTGAAGAAACAAAAGCTCAGGATATATATTAATATGCATAAATAAAATGTGGAAATAAGTAACAGGAAGAAGGGCTAAAAGAATTGAGGATGCGGTAGGGTAGAGGTGGGTGGCAGAGAACTGCTATTTTTTTTTTTTCAAATAAACTTCTAGTATTGATTGTTCATAAAAACAAAAACTATTATTTAAGAAAACGTAATGGATCAAGGGATGGATTACCAAAAAAAATAAAATGACACCAGAAGACAATGAAATACTACATAAACTTTACTACGAGGTGTATCAGGAAAAAAAAAAAAAGCAGTACTCCACCCTACAATTGTTTACTCCCAAAAACTTCATTTAAAGACCTACAAATACCTGTATTTTGAAGCGTGTAAAATTTCATCCCAAGGAAATTCATTAATTAAAGTATCTTAATATAGAAATAAAACCTGGAAACCATTTTCCAGATAAGTAGCTTCCTAAATGATAAGACAAAAAAAATTCCTTCTTCAAATCTTAAGGAAAAAGTGTAAGCTCTAGACCTTTCCAATACTGTGCCACTTGACTTAATGATTAATTTTTAAAAATTCCAGATACAGAACACAGAACAGCAAAAGCTCCAAAATTTTAAGATTTTCTATTCCTTCCCCAAATGTCAAATTTTCTATACAAATTAAGCTAAGTATATGCAATGGTTAGCCAAATTGTACTTCACTGTAAATTACACTATGGTCTTAAAAGAAAAAATTTTAACTACAAATACAGCCAAAAGCAACTCTTAGAGTTCTTTAAAGGGAAGTGGTACTTTCTTATAGACTCATTCTTTTGAAAGAATTGAAATACTCTATCTATGGCTTATATTGGGAGCATGGGTACCTATAAAGGACATGGAAACATATAACTACTTTAGGTGATCTAATTAGTAAGTTTTGCTATTAAAAAAATCTCTCAAAAATATCAGATTTGGTGAAGAGAAAAGGGAAATATCTAAAACTATTTTATTACCCTTCATAACATAACAGCCTATGAAAGAAAAGACATGTGAAATTACTAAATAGACCAAAATCTGGAAATATCAAGAAATGTTCCAAAGTCCAGGAGATATAAAGTGAAAACATTCTTGATGTAGCTTCTGAAAAGCTGTACTCTGACTAAATCTAAACCTACACTTTGTAAGGACTTAATGTAAATGTGCTAATTTGAGAACAAACTAAACTGCGATAATCTGGTGCTACAGGGGCTACTAACGCTTACCTCAAGGGAACCTACTGCAGATAAAGTCCCGTCACTTGCACAGTCCTTTCAGCTGCCTGCCAGTTGTCTCTGTGGAAGGGAAAGCCTGATGAGTGAAAACCCTATGCCACACTCCTCTGGAGTGTCAGGGTGCCTGCATAGAACTGCACAAAATTGTCTACCTAGAGAGTCCTAGATGTTTTCAATAACACAGGACTTTAAAAGATGCCACCTTTGACATTCTCTTTCCATGAACACCAAAACCAAATAGCTAAGAGTTACTAAATGCTAATGACCTACTGATATTATCAAAGAGATATATCTACACTAGCCCAAGTAGGAAAAAGACTAAAATGGATCAAAGAGAAATAAGTTAACATTGAAAGGAAAACACAAACACACATACACACATGCACACACACATACACGCGCGCGCGCGCTGAAAAGTAACACAATGCTATAATCTGAGCAGAGGTTGTATCCACAAAAAGTGATGTTGTTGCATCAGCAAGTGAATGCTAAAACCCAAAGAACTTCCTATCTACATATGTCAAAAAGATGCTATTAAGTACATCATGCCCCTTGTTAACAACACCATGGATCCAAATGCCTACTTATAAAATCCCACATATTTTCTTAGTGGGGTCAGTAAGTGGATGGGAGGGGAGAGGATTTTCCAGGTAGTTTTAAATATGAAAAGTGAAAAACAACAGCATGAAATTCCGCAAGAAATTTCCAAAAGAGAAAAAATATGTGTATCTACATCTCAGTACACAAACCCTTACTCAGAACCAAACTAAGAGGGGAGTATAACAAAAAACAGTGGAAAACTGTAGTACATAGTTCAAAAACCACTTTCATCTACTAGAATTATAAATGGCCAGTGACTGTCTTCCATTAAGAACACTTATAACACTAATGTATATGCTACATAACCAAAGAAACTATATTTTCTTACTAATGCCAAATAGTCTTCAGTCTGAATACTGTGCTTCATAAGGCAGAACAAAAATGCTCCCATCAGAAACTTTAGCATTAATGCTTATTAGCACAAAGATGGGGGGGGGGGGGAACTATTAAAAGAAAAAAGGTGATTCCAGCTTTTACTTTAATAGCACCATATTTAAAATGAAGTTACTTACCTCAGATTCTTTGTCACTTAAAGATCCCAAGCTTCCAAAACTGTGATTAGAACTTTCATTATTTGTTGAGGCCTGTTAAAGATTTTTAAAAAGGTAAAAATTAGGAATAATTTTAAATGAAACATACTACAAAAGGTAAACTATCTTCATAAGTGAAAATAAAGTATGATTCCTTTAAGCAAGGAAGTTAAATGAAGTAAAAATGAGAAATATCAACTTCTTAACACTATAAATATCTTGGAAAGTTTTATCAAGTCAATAAAGATCTGTATTTCAGGAACTGACTTGTTTTAGCTGACTTTTTAGAATACCAAATTCAAGAACAAAGGAACTGGGCTATTACTAGGATAACAAGATCCCTAAAATTAGTACCCAACATATAAAAAATGATGCTTCCTTAAAAAAAAAAAGTATTATTTGTGCTCCTTAATTTCCTTCAGAGTCTCATCAAATTCCATTATATACCATCCACACCCCTTTGCCTTTTTTTATATAAAACAAACCAGGCAATCCCTGGGGTTTTGTTTGTTTTGGTTTAGTCTTTTAAGAAAATTTCTTCCCAAAATTTCTTTACCATTTTAATTGCTTCAACCAGGCTGGTCCGAGTGCAGTGGTGTTTACAATTAATTGCTTCAACCAAGAGTTTCTACATTTCCTTTAGTAATACTTTTTTAAGTTTATTTATTTATTTTGAGAGAGTAGGGGAGGGGCAGGGAGAGAGGGAGAGAGAATCCCAAGCAGACTCCACGCTGTCAGCACATAGACCAATGCAAGGCTTGATCCCACAAACCATGACCTGATCGTGACCTGAGCCGAAGTTGGACGTTTAACCAACTGAGCCACGCAGGCACCCCTCCTTTATAATGTATTTTTAAAATTTTTTAAATGTTTATTTTTGAGAGAGACAGAGAGAGAGAGAGAGAGCAGGGAAGGGGCACAGAGGGAGACACAGAATCCAAAACAGGCTCCAGGCTTTGAGTTGTCAGCACAGAGCCCAACTCGGGGCTTGAATTCACAAACTGCAAGATCATGACCTGAGCTGAAGTCAGATGCTCAACCGACTGAGCCACACTGGCGCCCCTCCATTATAATATTTTTAAACAGTGACGGGATGACATTTGCTATGTTTCCAATATGTTTCTATGATGCTCACTATTTTGTAGACTTTTTTAGACCATCAGCTTTAGATCAGTGTCTTCCAGGAGTGTTCAGATCAGAGGGTGACAGACTATGGCATATTTATCAAAGATGATGCATGAATAACCTATGTGTACAGGCAGGCCAGTTGATATCCCTGTTTTTCTCCAATTTGTTAAGAGTAGGAGCTAATCCTGTTAAAAGGTTGGAAGTTGGCCTACAATTACTCTTAGGCTAACTTCTAAACTGATGACTCTTGAGTCCTTGCATACATGTCTAGTACTATGCTGGACAATGTAAAGGCTGTTTTCAACACAAACCAGCAGTGAAAGTGATTAAGATTCAAGCACTATTTGGAAGAAGGTATAATTAGAGCAAGATTATTAAACACCATAAACAGCCATTAAGAAGTGATAAATTAGATTCAGAAACAATGGAGGCTGTACCATGTTTTTGAATATCCCCAAATCCTCAGATAAAAATATAAACCCAAAACCCACAGACAACATTTACAACAAAACTGGCTGACAAGGAATCTCCATGAATTCCCCCAAAAGAGAAGGTAGGGACAAATCACCAATAACCACAGGAAATGCATCACAGGAGAGGAAGCAAAAGGAAACAATGACAGATCTGAGAAAAGAGACTCTGAAAACAGCAATTTAAGTACAATGGCTGTCATTGGAAGGGTTTCTGTCCTTTCCAACAGAGATTAAGTATGGGAGGACCATGGTGAAGTGTGAAGAAGTTGGAGCAATCTAGCCTCTAGCTACGAACTCTTAACACATCCCTCAAAAGGGTATCACAATGAGGATAAACTACTGGGTGCAGAATCAAAATTGAGCACAAAAGGTACAATGAAGATAAAGGAAAAAGAATATTCAGATAAAAGTGAGGAAGGGAGCAAAGCCTAGAAATTTCAGAAAGCAGATGCCACACTTTTGAAGAGTGCCCAAAAACAATAGCAGAGAGAGCTCTGTAAGAAAAGCCATTCTAAACCACAAAAATGTAAACAACCGAAAATGATGTAGGTCAATCCCATGAAGTTATCATAAGAAAAAGAAGAAAAAGAAAAAGGAAACATGGGATAACATCCTGATAATAAAACCATACCAGGAATACATATCCACAAAAGAGTATGAAAACTATACCTACTATTTCAAAATGAGCTAAAAAACATTACAAAAATGACTCAAGACATGAAAGAACATAAAGCTGGTTTCAAAAAACTGAGATTTAAGGTTAACAGAAATCAGGAAAATATCAGAAATAAGAAAAAAAAGTTTCAGAAATGAAGATTAAGCCTGAATGAACGTAAGAGAAAATACATACATGTAATGCTTCAAGAGAACTAGAAGGTAAAAAGGAGAAACATTTCTGAAATTCAAATGAAGGGATAAAAAGGACTGAGAAGGCAACAACTAATGAAGCAATAAAAATTCAACATTCAGGTAAAATAAGTCTTTAAAGAATAATACCAGAAGAAAACAAATAGTAAAAAGTATAATTCAAGAAAATCTCCTTGAAAATTAAAAAAAAAAAAAAGGAAACTACCAACAGAAAAGCACACTGTACACCTAAGAATACCAACCCAGAAAGCCAATATCAAATTTTTCTAAGGAAACACTATATGCTAAAAGAAAATGGAGTAACATACTTAAGATATTCAAGAAAATATAAATGAAGAGTTTTATATTCAGTAAAATGGATTTTGGGGACGCGTGGGTGGCTCAGTCAATTAAACATCTGATTCTTGATTTCGGCTCAGGTCATGATCTCACAGTTCATGAGTTTGAGCCCGTCATTGGGCTCTGTGCTGGCAGGGTGGAGCCTGCTTGGGATTTTCTCTCTCTCTCTGCCCCTCCCCTGCTCATGCTCGCTCTCTCTCTCTCTCTCTCTCTCAAAATAAATAAACTTAAATTTTTAAATTGATTTTTAACACATAGAAGGCACTGATAAACTGTTATCAAAATGTCGGGAATCAATACTGCTCCCATGAGCGTTCCAAAAGAATCTAGAGAACAAGTATTAGATAACCAAAATGAACAGAATTTCAACCTAAAAACTAATGGCAAGCAACATTATTTACTTGTTGACAAAGATTAAAGGAGAAGTACAAGGAAGAGAGCATAAAATATAATGGCTAAAGCATGTCAAGTTGTTAATAATAAAATACTGTTTTAAAATAGGAGACGGAAGAGTATGGAAAGCACAAGCAAAGATGGTAACGGTTTTTGGTAATCTCTTTGGTCACGATGATAATACAACTATTATTTTAAGACTGCTATGTGTAAGATATGGAAAGGAGTGAATAACTATGTGACCTTCTAATTCTATCATCTGCTTTATGTCCTTGAGAACCACAACTTTTAGTGCAGAAGAAAGAAAATAGAGATGTTAAGTAAAAACCTTGTAAGTTCCGATTTGAATTGGAAGTATAAATTCATAAGGTGTTTTTAACTTTTACAACAAACAACAAAAAAATATAATGGAGATTCTGTAACAAGTAATAGAGTATCTCATCATACCAACATTCCCTCAGATAACTATATATTCTGGAAAAAAAATAAAAAACAACTACCTGAAGGTATCTGAGCAACCAAAAGTAGGCAGAATCTATATAGGATATAATATCTGGAAGAAAGGAATAGAACTGGGTAGGTTTCCTATTTCTACAGCTTTCACCTGAAGAAAGGTCCTAGTCTGAACAGCACAGAACAGCTGGAACTTGGATCAAAATATGCAGTCTTACCGGCCTGAAAAACCAGAGGTTGGAGCTACTGCAACAGCTGGAAAGTGAGAGGGCATACGCTGGAGGAGAAATAACCACAAAACAGAATCCCATATTCTACATATTAACTCTACCCATGTCTATGGCTGGTCACTAATATATACATGGGTGAAACAGACTCTAAGCAGTCCAAATAAGGCTACAACAACTAAACAGAATAGTCAGCCACTGTCTCCTGTGGGGAGAGACAGCCTGGAGTTTAGTCCAGCCAAAGTAACTGCTTGTTAACACAAATAATGACCAAAAAATCAACTTTCTCCAGAAGAAGACACCAAACCCCACAGTCACTATAATGTATCATTTACACTTGGAAGGATATAATACAAAATTCTTAAACATAAAAAGAAACAAGAAAATGTGATACATACTCAAGAGAAAAGACAATCAATAGAGACCAACCACAAGTAACCCAGATACTGAAATTAGCAACAATCTCAAAGCAGCTACTATAAGTATGCTCAAGATGACAAAGGAAAATATGCTTGGAATAAATGAACCAATTAGAACTTTAAGCAGAGAAATATAAAAAAGAACCAAATGGAAATTCCATAACTGAAAAATTCACTCTCTAAAATAAAAAATTCAATGAATGGGCTTAATAGCAAAATGGAGAAAGTACTGAAAAGATAAAAAAATTACTCAAACTATAGAGAGAAAAAAATATTTAAAAAGAGTTGGCTCTTGGACACTGAAGCAGTCTAACAAAAATTTACTTGGAGTCATAGGAGAGGAAAAGGGGCAGAAAAAATATGTGAAGAACAGCCAGAAAATTCCAAAATTTGGTGAAAGACATAAATGTACAGATTGAAGCAGCTCACTGATTTCTCCAAACAGAAATACAAAGAAAACCATAACTATGTACATTATAGTCAAACTACTGAAAACCAAAACTAAAGAAAAAAATCTTACCACAGTAAGATATCACCTCACACCTATTAGGATGGCTATTACCAAAAAGACAAGAAATAACATGTTGGCAAAGATGTGGAGAAAAGGGAACCCTTGGGCACTGTTGGTAGGAACGTAAACTAGTACAATTCAGAACATTTCATCCTAAAGCAGCAGAATATACATTCTTCTCCAGCGCACATGGAATGTTCTCCACAACAGACCACATACTGGGACACAAATCATCTCTCAACAA